GCCGTTTCAAGTTCCATATCCACCAGCCACGGCCCATTCCACGGCTTATACTGTAGCGTCATGATGCTGGCGTTGACCATCAACGTTTCTTTCCCAATCTCGACCGCGGTCTCACCGCCACGACTAATATCGACAGTAGCTGCTCGGTTTTCTCTCGCTATCTCTTCATCAACATGAACGGTGTCTATGGCTTCGATATGCTCTTCAATATTGATATCCAGCTCTCCGCTGTCGTTCCATCGCACCTTCTGCGCACCCCAGCCCTCATGAATATGGCCAAAACAGTGCAATCGCGGCTTGCAACGTCGTGCAGCTCGTAGTAAATGTTGACAACCGACTGCTTCGCCAGTACGTGTCGCGTCCAAAATCCCCATGGGCGGACCATGTGTCATCATGACGTCGATGTTGGGGAAGTCTGGTACGGGGTTCTCAGCGATGGGTACAGCATTGGGTGTGCATTGATGGGAGGCATTGTAGCGGTCCTGATTGCGAAAGTATGGGAATGCCTACAGGTCCGGGGTAGGAAGTTAGCGAATGTGTTACAATAACTGCGTTGCTTGGATGTTGCTTACCCAGTCGTAAAACTCCGGTTGGTAGGGAGACGCGTAGACCTTCGATTGGCAGTCAGAGAGGCGGCTGGGACCAACGGAGAAGACGCGCATACTCGCAGATTTGCGCCATTCTCCAACATGAACGTATGCGTTCCTTCCTCCAAATAAGTGACCCCAGCTCTCTTGGCTCGTTCACCCATCCACATCGCTCTTGCTTTCGCCGGCAGATCTTTGTCGTATCCGCGACCTCCGTGCATGAACCGTCCCTTCCTGGCATAGTACTCTTCATCCAGACTAATATCATGGTTGCCTGCAATTACAAGCTTCAGAGGCGCCTCGATGTCCTCCAACATGCCCAAAGTCCTCTCGTATTCCTCTAATTGGCCAATCATGGTCAAGTCCCCACAATGTAGGAGGACGTCCGCTTTGGGGAGCGGAGGACGGAAAGAGACATTGTCATCCGCGATATTTTGCGATGGTGAAGACGAGTGAGTATCGGAAAGGATGAGGAACCGGGTTTTGACGAGGGCGCGTAATGTCATGGTGGTTGTCGCGGACGTTTCGAGGACTAGGAAGCTTGCAGCTTGTGGTTTTGGCGCCTGAACTGAGGAGGGGGAGGGGTGCTGGAGGGGTCTGCAATGCAGCTACCTATCCCAACGCCTCGCAGGCAAATGCGCCGGAGATGCTTCCCTTCTCCATGCACAATGCATTCATCTGCATCTTGGATTTGCGCAAATACATCGGGCTTATTTCCGGAGTCCTGGAGTACGTTGCACCTCTGGACGGAGACCTACAGGAGTTGACATGCCGGACGTCCGGGGCGTAAATCTCGTGCTCGCTGACATCGACTCCCTCCCAGCTCCAGTTCATCAGCAGCAGGAACGATGAACCGGAGAAAGTGATTTTGTGGATCAGTGAAGTAACAGTTTCCAAGGAAGGTGATGATGATTAAGCGACTCGGCATCATTAGCCTTGAAGCGCTAAACCTTACCTGTTCGGCACATGTCGGACGAGTCTCACGCCATGCTTACGAGCTTGTGCAAGCGTAAAATCCCCTCCATCACAGCCACACCACACGTGCAGCGCAAGGACTTCCCTCCTACACGATCCACTCCATCTACCAGATCTTCGCCATCCTCCTAGCCTTGTGAGACTGGCGGTGCCGCCCGTCGGCTTGAGACAGTGGTACCACACCGGGTCCTCCACCTGCGAACTCATAGCCATCCACATCTCTTTACATAACCACAACGGTAGAACAGAGGAACAAGAGACCTCCATGGATGCACAGGCTCGACCCCGAGGAAAACAACTTCTGGGCACTGTAATGGCCAAGCTTGGGAAAGGTCATTGGGCATTGACAGCAACACCTCATCCATGCTCATCAGCATCTGCACATTCCTGATGCGAGTGTATCGCTAGAAAGACGTCAATACACAAAATCAAACCAATGTACTTTCAAGTGTCGCAGTGACAAGGAGCACCAGTATCGTGGTTTCGGCGTCACGGCATGTGTGGGCAACAAAGCTCTCGGCAGAGTGGATCACAGGGTCCCGGCCCCGGAGCCTCCCGGTGAGCTGTCAGTCGTTCGACATGTGTAATTCGCGAAAATTCCAAATGCTTACTGAATCCATAATAATTCTGTAAAGCACGCGGGGAGTGGAATACTTTGATGTCCGGTCCACTCGTGAACAAAGGAAGGAGGGGTCATATCTGTGGCTTGCGGTTTTTGGTTTACTGCACAGCTATTACAAGCATCTTACCTAGCTCGTACCAAGAAACCGGAACTGACAAACGCAAGTCACAGGAAAACATTACCAGCTTCTTTGCTGCAGGCTGTGCTGTTCCGAATCGCCGATTCACTCACCCTCGGTTCTATCTCATATTAAAGGGCCCACGGACGTCGATTGAGTCATCCACCATCAGCTCATCGAGCTTCTACTTCGTCAATACTTACACGAACATCTATCAAACATCCATCGAACATCTATCGAACATCCATCGCACATCGACTTCAAGCACGACTCGCCTATCCAACGTCGGATCGATCAAGTCTTTATGAGTTTCTCTGGCAGTCCAAAGGCAAACAAAGACGACTGTTCTCCTGCGTTGGAAACCATGCCATACACCACCTACCTCGACAATCCGTACTTTGCAGATGTCTACAGCCAAACACCCGACTACGCGCTGAACACCTTCTTCGACTCAGAATCTTTCTTTGAGCGACCCCTCACCTCTGTCGAAACGGCCTCCGGCATGCCCTCGAAACCGCAAGCCATGTTCAATCCAACTTTACCAGCAACCGGAATCTCAGCCTCAAGCAGCACACAGCCGTCATTGACGCAAGCCTTCAACCCCATGCCATTTGGACAACTCGAACAATACCCATTCGGCACCCTCGACCCCACACCAATCCAACCGATTGAATCGAACGGCTTCTCCCCCACGGCCGGAAGCACATCGCAAACTCCATCTCTCTGCGGCGAGACATCATTCCAAACAGTTTCACCCTCCCTCTCACCCCATGTGCTAAAGCGCGAATCGCCATCATCACCATACTCGGGCTCTGAATCCTTAACTCCAAAGCGACCGACCAGGAAGCGGGGTCGCCCGAGATTGGACCGCAGTAGCATTGACACGCAATTGGGAACCTCCCCATCGAGAATCACATCTACATCACAAAAATGCCCGCGGCCAAAGCGCCTTCCGCACAACCAGGTGGAACGAAAGTATCGCGAGGGTCTCAACTCCGAGCTGGAAAGGCTGCGAAGAGCGATTCCATTGCTGAGACAAACCGAGGAGGCTGGTGCAATGGGCCAGCAGAAACCGAGTAAGGCGATGGTCCTCTCTAGTGCGATTGAATACATCAGACAAATTGAGCAAGAGAGGGATGCACTGAGAGAGGAGAACGAGAAGCTCAGGTTGAATCAGATGGTGCAGAGATTATGAAATTGAGAAACAAGACGCAAGAGAGGGACACATTGAAAGAGAAGTACGAGATGCTCAGACCCAACCATCTGATGCAGAGACTGTGGAAGACCGGGAAGCAAGGAGCAAGAGGGGAATAGACTGAGATAGGAGAACGCGAGGCTCAGGCTAAATCAGCTGGTGCGGAAAAGGTTGAAGATTGAAAAACAAAAGATGGCTCGCTGGAACAGATTGCGATGGGTCTGCGAGTACAGGGCCGGCTTGCGTAAATTTTGGAGCTCTGGTTGGGAACTACGATCTTAAAGTCGACGAGAAATGTCACTCGAGGGTGGCAATAATTCGTGTCGCCATCAGCCTCACCAAAGAGTGCTGCGTCATGTCAACGCCGACACACGAATTATCGTCACCCCTGCTGACGTCGGATTCGGTGGTAAAAAGTCGCGATTTTTGTAATGACCGTTATGATACCTCAGCACCCGCTTGCTGCAACTAGCACAGTAATGATAGACTCTGGTTTTGGCCTTGATGTTTCTTACCAGCGTATCTGATTCATGAGCACGTCTCGCCCAATATTTCTGATGCTTTTTTGGGGTGTTTCGACTTTCGAATGAGTAATTCTGAATGTGTGGAATGGAACAATGTTGCTATCGCCATCGCTGGCATGTACAGTCCGAAATAAGTTATGCTCACTCTCTTGCTCACACGCACACACTCTCTTAATATACATTTACTATTAACTATCAAAACATGCCATCAGAATCCCAAAAAGTAACTTTATCCGCTTTAGACATGCATGCGTTGTGCGAATAAAAAAGAGTGAAACATGGAATTTTCCAAGGCTATGAAAGAATGGCACAGAAGTATATTACAGAATTTTTGTAGAACATGCAACGCAACAGCATAGCAGTGTAAGATCTATTTTATATTATTACGATATCTATGTTTAAAACCATGTAAAGAGCAGCTACAAGTGTTGTTCCGCAATCCGTTACAAAGCATATGTACACAGGTAGGACGGGGTAAGTTATTAACCTATGCAACACAGCTACATAACAGTGTAGCTTTTTAATTCTAATTTATCACGACATCTACGTTTAGAACTATGTAAAGAGTAGCTACAAGTTTTGTTGCGCAACCCTTTTAACAGCATATGTACACAGGTAGGACGGGGGAAGTTATTAACCAAGGCAACACAGCTACATAAATAATAGTGTAGCTTTTTAATTCTAATTCATTACAATATCTACCTTCGCAACTCCTAAAGAGTAATTACAAGTTTCGTTGCGCAATCCTTTACAAAGCATATATACACAGGACAACGTACCGAAATCAACCACAAATCGAATGCGAAAAAAAATTCGTTTTTTGTTTTCCTTCCAGCAACCCCTCCCCCCCACTTCGTCGCTAGTAGCCCCGCTCGCCCGCAAACCCATGGTCTGTTTCTAAACTAGCAATCAGCGCTGCATATTTTAACAGGATATATATTTTTACATATTTGAGCGTTTTTTATCAATCACAGTAACTGCCCGGCTAGCTCAATCGGTAGAGCGTGAGACTCTTAGCTTTCACGTCCTCCAAGACACGATTGGTTATCTCAAGGTTGTGGGTTCGACCCCCACGTCGGGCTTGAGATTGTCTTTACTTCTTTTTGATCTTTTTCGTTCTTGCGTGGTTGATATCTTTTCTTTTACTTTGTGTGTGGTATGCTTTTTTTTTGGTTCTTGGTGGATAGATAGGTAGCGATTGCTGCTAGGTAATGTGGGCATGTAATGCAATTTTTTTTTTCTCGTTGTTTTGACTGCTCTATAGATGCTAGAGGGGTGAGTTTGTACGCTTTTACTTTTGCGATAGCGTGGAGGTGGTGGGTGTCGTTATGCTTCGAAGTTCGCAGCAGATGCCTTGCTACAGTATAGCATGCAATGTATCCTACGCATATGGAAGGCTCTATGACTTCACAAGGGATAATTTCACGGTCTGTGGGTTGATATTATTTGAGTAGGCTTACTTATATCTCTGGCACAACTTATAAGTTAGCGAATGGTAGATGACTTCATCATATATATAGTTCCAGAATCTATGTGAACTAGTCAAGTTAAGTTTTTGAACGAAACCAGCAAGAAATAGTGATACAGAGCTCGAAGAATGCAAAGGAGTCCCGCAGTAAATCGCCCTCGAAGAGATGTAAAAACCCGCGCGTACCAATACGGTGCATTACGAGGTACGAGTGTGGACTCCACTTTTAAATTTCTAAGCTTTCACAGTCTGGAATGGCTCAGCTTACGGTATTGGTATGCTTGCTGTTGGGTGTCAGAAGGAAGAACAAAACCCCAGCTATGGATCTAGTGGGCAGAGAGTTCTTACACCAACTCTCGCCGAGGTGGTCGCCTGTATGTACCCTAGGTAGGTAAGCACATGTCCCATCGTCTCTCCGGGCCGACTTCTCCGGTGTAGACAACGCTGATGGAGGTAAGGGTAAGTTGAGAACTTGAATAGAGTTGTGGTCCTTGGGGTCTGACCCTGAAATCAGCCTTGAGGGATGCAACACCTCGGAAGACTTGCATCTTGTGCTCCCAGCTCCGTCTTATCTTACCAACTCCAGAGGCGCCAACGTGGTGGTACGAAGCGAAATGGTGGCATATGCACATGAACCCTTCATCATGTAAAGGCAAACCTGCAGTTAGAGATGCAGGTACTCAGCCCGCCGTTGCCCCTATGAAGTTTAAACCTTCTATCCTTCGGCGCGTGGAGACATGCTTGCGCAATGCAGCCGTGCATAAAGCCAAGGACCCTGAGTGGAGGACCGCATATGTACGTGATACACACGAGCATACGAGTACCTAGCACTCAGGAGGCGGAGGGGGGGTGGGGGGGGAGGGTGGAGATGCATGATGGCGTTCTGTATTCAAACAAAAGCAAAGATGACTGCGTGCTTGGCTTGAATCACCTGCTATCAATGGCGCTGTACTATTGCGGCACAGCTCGGATGTCCTGCCCGGATCGGATCTAAGGATGTAAAGGAAAATACTCGGTTAATGTTGCTGAAGTACTCTAGCAGATTTCGAGGCGTGGAGTACCCAGCACAGGTAGGGCCTCAAGTGGCGTTGGGCTTGAAGGCTTGAAGCCACCCCGCTTTGTTGGTGTGCGTGCGTGCTTGAACTATTCTGGCTGTCGTGAAGGTTGCGACGCAGTGAGAGTTTATTGGCAAAATTCGTGGCTGCATGCTTGTATGACTCGGTGTAGCTATCTTTGAACATCTTTCGGGCGTAGCTGACAAAGGGGTAGCGCGATACTTGTGTTGGGTTGGTTTGATGTTTGCAACGAGATCTAGATGACTCTCTGAGACGGCCCATCTCCCTTCCATCGTGGAGTCGAGCACGAAGCCAAAGCGGAACGGGAGGTACGGTGCGTGATGGGTGACTGACAGCAAGGCGCGGGTGGGCGGATCTGACAGCGACGATCTCTGCGGCGTTGGTGCAATGACGAGCTTGTCCAATGGATGGCGGCCTGAGATCGAAGGTTGGTCGTTTGCCTGGAGGCTGGGGCTGTTGAGACATGTTGAGCTCGGCATTCACATGCACGTTTCCTACAAGCACCCGCGAGGACCGTTAACGCGCTTGCCGTGCTACCTTCTAAGACAGGGTTATATTTCTCACAAGAACGGTCGGGCGTCCTTGCGCTAGTGACGTTGTACTCGTGGTGGATGGCGATGACATGTTCGGGTGGACCGATGGTGGTGGACATCCGTCAGGACATCCGGATGGCGTACTAGTGAAAGAAGAAGACCCGCAAGGAGACTAACTGTAACGAGCCAAGCGTATCTTTGGAAAAGGCCTTGCAATTTTGCGATTGGCTATACCTCCGCAAAACAGAAAACCGAGACCGGGACCAAAAGGCCGTGTCGCTGGAACAATGTAACGTCATGTTTCCAATGGACACGTTGTTCACGCATCGTAGGGCTGCATAGCACTGTAGTGGCACGCGCGCATCTGCAAATAATACTGTACAGATCAAATCTTCCAAGAGCCAGGAACATGAAGGTTCCACAACGCTGAGGGATAATCAACACGCGCGCAAGCCAGGGCTCCATACGATAAACGTGGCGACCGAGCTGCGAACTAGTCCATTCTCCACACTTGACACAGACCCTTTCACTTGGAAGGACAGACCCGCTTTTCAGACCCATGAGCAATCCGTCACCGGTGTTAGGGACAAGGAAAATAAGAATCCACAAACAAATCTTCGCCAGCCCAAGCTACAGATGTTGAACCATGGTTGTACGGAAATAGTTTGTCCGCTCACATACCCCCAATCGTTGTAGTAGGATTGCCGAGGGAAGAGCAATAACCGAGGCGTCGAAATAATAGGTGCGTGATTCGTGCCTAGTAGTGCGATCAACACACCTCATGGTGTCTGAGAAGGATCGTCGTGATCATGGGTTTCCCGAAGCAACGTCGACGGGCCTCCTTCCCGACTGTGTGGTAGCGGGGAAAAACGAGTTCTGACCTGGGAAAACGTACGTCGCATTGCAGCCACGTCACCTGAGGTAGAAGGTTCACTAGAGCAAAGTTGTCCGCGCAAACGCATCCTCACCGGGCATACCCCATCGCAGAGAAAGAGAACAGCCGATTGAATAAAAAGTGGGACAACTGCCACCTCCAATGTCCGAAGCCCCTGCAAATTTCGCCGTATGCGACAGTCCGGAAAGTCCGAGCAAGAATATGGCAATCTTGCAAGATCGGGTTGCAAGAATATCTAACTAATAATAATGGTGCGAAGATGTCCTAGATCGTATTAGGATACGAGCATCGGTTGCCTTACCGTCATGTAAAGTTCGCTCGGTGAAGCTTTGGGATTACTTCCAGGTATTGCCAGGATGTCGAGCCGAAGCCGAACATCCCTCCAGAGTCCAGGGGATTTTGCAGAGCACTGCGAAGACCATGCAAATTTGTAGCTGGTGATTCGTGCTTGCGTGCTTTATGCAGTAATTTGTCCTTGTGTCGTTCGCTGGCTGTCGGTCCGTCCAGTGTCACTTGCATTGCATGATTGGCATGCAGGAGTCAGGGAGACCGTCGTCTTGGTGTCTCAATCGCATCTTGCTGGTCCAATCCCAACAAGATGGGTCTACATTCCTACCGACAACTTTCGCAGCGAGTGTGGTCCCCGAACCAACAAAGTCAGCGACGAATATGAACACATGTTCGCATTGATGGAGCGTATCTCCATCTTTAGAACCGGTAAGATAGCGTGGTATTCGCAAAGCGGACCTTTGCCTAGGTTGAACAGCGAGGAGCGTCGACTGTGGCATTCTAGACTTCTTGGACCACCACAGGGCACAGGCTGCTGCAACAGCTAGGAAGAGCCCTGTTAACAGAAATGTGACTCCAGCTTTGTGCATCTGTGTACCCTGCAGAGTGCGTTGCAAGGAATCCTTGGTGGCTGAAGCTTGCACTTGTGGAGATTTGATAAAGGGTGCCTTCGCATTGACCTCCACCGTGAAACCGTGCGGGTAACGGAACAATCCTGCAGTTGCGGGGACGCCACGAAACTAACCATGGGAACTAGTACCATTCGCAAGCCGAGGATGTTGACAGAGCAGCCATGAATCCACGTCTTGAGATTTTCTGGGTATCGAAGTAGTCGCCATATGCTACAAATGTTATCAGCGAGCCTCCAATTCCTCCTGCTCGTCTACATCGCGGTTCCAAGGCGTTGTTGGTTATACAAATGGTGAACAAAATCGAAATGCTAACTGAATGGTAAACTCAAATCGCCGAAAGAGATCAAGGCTTGGAGGGAAAATGCTCCGCGGCGGCTGCAAAGTCGTCGCTCGTAGCGAGTCAAAGTGTAAAGAAGTTGATATGCGCTTAACACAACGAAAAGAGTCGCATGTACTGTGCGTGTGTCAAAAAGGAAAGCCCAACTGTTGCAACCCATGTGTCGTAATCCGATCGTACTGCACCCCAAAACTCCATGAATGATTCTTTTAGACCTGCGTTGCACAAGTCACCGAGCGCTCAAAATCTTCCCATAACTCGAGTTGTGTTTTCGTGCGCTGGGCGTATACAGGCTTATATCGAAGCTGTCCAGCAACGTGCAAAATAGGCTTGCAGCTGCATGGAGAAGCAAGCTTTTTAATCTCTCGGCCTTCGGATTGTCTATGCCCCAGAGTAAAATTGCGGTAAACCAGTGGTATTGTACCCCATTGGTGGTGTGGCCTCCTCTTGTACCCGATCTAGATGCCCAGGTTCCGCATACCATTGCGCGCTCATGGACCGCCCAGAAGGAGGCATTGGGACTCCATGGTTCGACAACGCGTCGTACGAGGTCCACGTAGGTGGATAGTACGAATGATTGGGTACAATCGGCGCGGAAAGAGGGGCGGACGTTGACCCTCCAAGCGTGGTTGAATGCATGGTCGAAGGGTTTGTGTCTATCGTAGTTGGAAATGGATACGGAGAGGTTCTTCGGGAATAATCATGCTGGATGCCGAGTCCTTGCCCAGGATATTGCGGTGGAATACCTTCGATGTTCCCATAAGACATAGAGCGCGTTGGGGGCTGGAAAGGTGGTTGTTGACCCCAGTGGCCGTCCTGGGGACCGTAGGACATGGTCGAGCTCGCGCTCATT